TTCCAGCCTTGACAGAAAAAAAACCCAACACTTTGCTGTTCAGCCGTTTCCTTGGCAACCCCATTTCCCCATCCTCCAGCTCCACGCCTTGCTAACCCTCCTGGCCTTGGCTGCTGGTCCCCAGGGCGCAGTGCTGGGCAGGGTGCAGGGGGAGGGGGGGAGTCCTGTCCCCCCCCTGCTCCCCCAGGAAGGGTGGGCTCGGAGGGGACCCTCGGCCAGGGCTCAGCAAGCACTTGGGCTTCTTGGAAAAGGGGATGGAGCTGCTGGTGGTGAATCATGTGGGGATTGAAGTGACCCCCACCCAGCTCCAGGCTCCTGTCAGGAGCTGTGCAGAGCCAGAAGGTCTCCCCTGAGCCTCCTTTGCTCCAGGCTCAGCACCCCCAGCTCCCTCAGCTGCTCCTCCCCACACTTGGGCTCTAGACCCTTCCCCAGCAGCTTCGTTGCTCTTCTCTGGCCACACTCCAGCCCCTCAAGGTCCTTCTTGGAGTGAGGGGCCCAAAACTGACCCCAGGGCCCAAGACACACGACAAGGCAGAGACAGCAGGAAGAGGCACCAGCCTCTGCTGGAGCTTTGGCGCATTCAAAACCTGGAGCTTTAGGGGCAAGGCAATCCATAGCAGGGACCACACGTCCCTTTCCACCATTGCAAGGTGATGTAGAGGAGCAGGTGGGGCTGGGCCACCCTCTCCAAAGAGCTCAGCTCAGCCCATGGCTGTGACAGGGCCCCGGAGCTCCAGAAGGCTCTTGGCTGAGCCTGGCTGAGGCTTCAGCATTGGCAGTGGCTGGCTGAAGCCCTGGCTGCACCTCCTGAGGACTGGTGAACAATCAGGACCCAAGCAGACTTCCCCCAAAGTTCCAGAGAGAGCTTCTGGGCTGAGTTCTGGCAGCAGAAGCTGCTGCCTGTGTCCTGCCTGTGCTTATTCCTCACCAGGCTGGGGGTTGGGGAGGAGAGGGGATCCAAGCCCCAGGACATGGCACCTATGGGGCTGATGGCTGGGCAGGGGATGGTGGGATCTCCAGGGGAGCTCAGCCAGACCCCCAGTGCTGCCAGCCAGCCCAGTCTGGGGACTGGAAATGTGGCAGCTGGGTTTTTGTAACACAGAGACACGTGTTTGTGCCATTGCCATGGAGCAGGGCGGAGGCTCAGCCCTGGGGACTGTCCCCAAAAGCCACCCAGAGCCTGTTTCAACCTCTGGAAACAGCTGGATGCCAGAGAGCCCATGTGGGGGATGCCAGGAGCTCCATCACAGAGTGTTTGGGACCAAGATCCCTCCAGCGTTGCTCAGACACCTTTACTCAACCAGGCAGCCAAAAATCGAGGTGCAAATGTCCCCATGTCACCCTTGTCCCACCCAAAGGTGCCCTGCTGTCAGCACAAGAGCCCCAATCCTGCCTGGTGCTGCCCATCCTGTGCTCCCCCTGCTGCACAAGGTCATGCTGATGTTTTATTCATCCCCCACAATCCTCTCTAGTCCTTAATTGCAGCCACGCACGCTTTGCAAGTGTCAATAATTGCCTTGGAGCCTTATTAATGACCTTGGAGAGCTAACGAGCCCAAAGTGCTCTCAGGGCTGTCTGACCCTTCCCTGGGCTACCAGGAGCCCTGGAGACTTGAGGGGTTAGCACCCAAACCTGGGTGCAGACTGCCCGGGGAAAAAATAATTCACAGCTCAGCCCTGAGATTAAAAAATTAGCCACTGGTGGATCCAACAGCTCCACAGTCCTCCTCCTCTCCTGCCCCCCGTGGTCACCATGACCTCACCTGCATCCCAGTCACATCTTGCTGCCTCCCACTGGAGCTGCTGGGAGAGGCTGCTGGTGGTGAGGGTGCCACGAGGCTCCATCCCACACCCCCTGTACCCAAAGCTGTGGTTCCCACCAGTCCCTGATGGTCTTTCCTTGGAAAACCCTCCCAAGCTGTTGGTGGAGGTCCTGCCCTACCACAGGACAGCCTTCAGCATCCAAACCCAACCCAGGAGCTGCTCCAGCCTTAATTAAAAGTCTTTAATCACCAGGCAGAGGAGGGATGGGTGTCAAGCCACCGTTACATCCCAAGCTGGGGGTTGGTGGGTTCCAGACCAGCTGGAGCTGGCCAGGGGCTCTTGGAGGACCACGAAGGTCAAGTTGGGAGGCACATGTGAACCAAGGCACAGGTCCCAGCCCTCCCTTCAGAAAGCAGCTTGTGCCACAGAGACAGTTCACACCTTTATTGCTCTAGCTGGAGGGTTTCCCCCCACTCCTCCTCCCACCATCCTTTCTTCTCTCCTGGGGAGACAGTGCCCTCAAGCCAGGATGGATGGCCCATGTGGAGGGGCACGGTGGCATTCAGCCAGCACCCTGCAGCCACCCAGTTTCTCTCTGTGTCCTCCCACTGCATGCACTTAGGTGAGGAAGGAGGTGTTTGGGTTAAAACCTGGCCCTTTCCCACCCCTGGCATAGCCCCACCTCCACAGGGCAACGTTCCTCCTCCCCCCAAACCCAAATCATCCAAATCCAGGTTCTCCCCAGGGAAGGACAAAGCTATCCAGGCCAGCCCAGTCTCCCTTTCCAGGGATGTGTCCACAGGGCAGGAATTTACAGGGAGGAACCACTTGAATTCACCAGGGTCTTCTGAAGCAATCCCGCTTGTCACCAGAGCCCAGCTCCCCAGGACGTTCCAGGGAGCCCAGAGCAAGGAGAGAGGGAGCTGGGGCGTAGGGACCAGGGTGTAGGGACTGGAGCTGCCCCCTCACCCTCCCTCCCCACCCCAGCTGCCCCCCGTGGCTGTCACAGCATCTGTCCCACACCACCTTCCTCCAGCCCCAGCGCCGGGCGCCGTCAGCAGAACTGCAGGAGGAGCAAAGCCCGGGGTGGGTGGTGAGCCCCCTGTGGGAAGGGGGGGCTCTGCTACCCCCCCAGGGTGGATCAGGGCCACTTAGAACCCTCCCCCAGGCTTGGGCACAGACCTTCCAGCGATTCCCACACTCGTTGCACAGCACAAAGGTGGTCATGGGCTCGTCGGCGCTGCGCGTCTGCACCTAGGGGGGAGCAGGGAGGTTGGGGCAACGGAGACCCCCTCCGGTGTCCCCCAACTCCCTGGGGGTCTCGGGGGCTCTGCGGGGCTCACCTGGTTGTAGGTGCAGTTCTTCTTCTTGCACTTGCCACACTGGAAGAGGTCTGTGACGGTGCCACCCGTCTTGGCCATCTGGTGCTCCCGGATGGCCTCCTGGGTCATGGCGTTCCTCAGCTCCTTCAGCTCGTCACTGGCCATCTCCTGCCACCCACCCGGCAAGGTCAGGGCTGCCAGGGCTCTGCCCAGGGGCTGGTAGCCAAGCCAGCCCAGGCTGCAAGCCACCGTGGTCCCGCACCCCCCAGGAGCAGGATGGA